CCCATCCCCAGGCCAATCAGGGCCTGGGGGCAGGCAGAAGTGAGAGAAGTCTCCTCCCGCCATGGGATGTAGTAGAATTAAAAAGATACTGATGCAGAGATTTGTACAACAAATGGAAGGCTATTTCATTACACCTCAAGATGTACTGAAGTTTATTTCTGAACAAAGACTCACAGATCACTTTCCCAACATTTTCATTGATCTTCCAATTCTCTTGACTCTTCCAGTTTCTGTTGCTAGTGGGGTGTGTAGCTTTTCAAAATTAAAATTGATAAAGACAGGCTTTCATTCTTCCATGCTGAAAGAGAGACTTGTTGGACTGGCCACCATCTTAATATAACAAGAAATAGCTTCAAAACTTTGTCTCAAACAACTTATTACCCAATTTGCAAAAGCAAAAGCATGAAAAGCAAAGTTATAAATGTTTACACATATCAATGACCCAGTGAAAAAGGGTTTCAACTCAAAAACAGACTTAATTCAGTAGCAAGGAATAAAGATTTTCATAAGCTTCTCAAAAATCAGTTCCTTTTCAAGGAAGACATTTGCAACTTGAAATGCAGCCATTTACAGTGCTGACCCGAGACACTGTCTACAACTCAAAACAGTTAAAAACTTAAAGTGTCAGTTACCGGGTGGTTTACCTATAGGCTATGTCTAGACTGGCAAGTTTTTCCGTAAAAGCAGTTGCTTTTGAGGAAAAACTTGCCAGCTGTCTACACTGGCCACTTGAATTTCCACAAGAACACTGACGATCTCATGTAAGAAATCAGTGCTTCTTGCGGAAATACCATGCTGCTTCCGTTCGGGAAAAAGTCCTTTTGCACAAAAGCTTTTGAGCAAAAGGGCCAGTGTAGACAGCTCAGATTTGTTTTGCGCAAAAAAGCCCCAATTGCAAAAAGGGCGATCGGGGCTTTTTTGCGCAAAAGCACGTCTAGATTGGCCACGGATGCTTTTGCGCAAAAGTGCTTTTGCGGAAAAGCATCCGTGCCAATCTAGACGCTCTTTTCCGCAAATGCTTTTAACGGAAAACTTTTCCGTTAAAAGCATTTGCGGAAAATCATGCCAGTCTAGACGTAGCCAGTCAGCATAATTGTGTTAGAATTAATGAATAATAGAAAAAATCAATAAACATTTTTATTTTTACATTGTTCATTTCAAATGCCAAATAAACAAAGGTAAAATTTCATTTTAGACTTCTAATTTTTTTCTACATTGAATGTGGGGAAGAGGGTGCCAAATTTATAGTCAACTTAGACTAGGTCTACACTACAGACTTTTCACGCGAAAGCTCACAGAGCATTCATACCTCAAGCACGCTTTTGTGCAAGTAAAACGAAAGAACAGAGGGGTTTTTCTGGTGTAGGTACTCCTCATTTTATGAGGAATAACTCCTTTTTGTGAAAGAGTTCTTTCGCAAAAAGGTGTGTGTGGACGGGGAAGAGGAGTTTTTTGCGCAAGAAGAGAGAAGAGGTAAAAGCACAGGTGCCCTGGTGGCCATTTTGTCCATAGCAATCACTGCTTACTTGTGAGAGAGCATCCAGGCAGCCTGAACACTCTCTTTCATAAAAGCGCATCACTTTTTCAATGTGCTTTTGCAGTATGGACGCTCTCTTGTGCAAGAAGTTTTCTTCCACAAAAAGCTTCTTGCACAAGAAGCCTGTAGTCTAGACATAGCCATCACACCTTTGCCAAAAACCTTTGGGCCAACCATGTGTGGGGATAATCTGTTGGAGTTCCAGGAGAGGGAATTTAAGAGAAAGAGAGAAGAGGATAAAATGGAAGGAATATACTATGAGTGTGAGTGAGAATAGAAGGATACATTTTTATGGAGGCCTCCTGGAAAAATCAAGCTCGGTAACCTTTATTTTTTTTCCAAATTAACCGTTTTGCAAGTGTGATGTTTGCTGTGGTGAATAGAATACTTGACCTTTAAAAACTGTAATGTTCATATAAAGTTCAGGTACTGAATGTATCATTTTTTCAATAGAAACAGACCTGACAAATTCCACTATAATTAAGCATTTATAAAATATGGACAAAATTTTCCTTGTCAAGCCACAGAATTGTCTCCTGCCCTCACTGAGAAATCCAGTATATGCTCCACAGCTAATCTCTCACTTAATATTCAATAAGTAACAGCCTGCACAGAAAGAATGTGAAATAGAGATCTATATTGAGGACAAAATAGGAATTGCTAGCCAGACTAGATGAGGTGCATGCTCCATCGAGGTCAGTTTTGCCTCCATCAATAGCCAGAATCAGATACTTCAAAGTAAACAGCTCCTTAGTGAACAGTTGTGGAATAATCTTCCCCCAAAGAAAGTTTCTTTCTCAAGGTGTGTCTACACTGTGGTGCTAGCTCAAAATAAGCTATGCAATTTGAGCACCTTATTTCAAGCTTATTTCAAGACAGCCTATTTAGAAATTTGGCTCTGTCTACACAGCACCAAATTTTGAAATATAGTGCTATTCCAACAAGTCCTTTAATCCTTGTGGAACAAGATTTATCAGGATGTCAGAATATTGTGCCTGTTATTTCAATTACATTTCAAAATAATGGGCTTGATGTCAAGACACAGAAAATGCTATTGCGGTATCCCGAATAGCACCGCAGCGTAGATGTACCCGTGCAGAAGTTAGTGATTGGCTTATGTCCTGAAACATCAAGGTTATATTCATTTTTATATTCACCCGTGCAGAAGTTAGTGATTGGCTTATGTCCTGAAACATCAGGGTTATATTCATTTTTATATTCATTTATATTCATTTTTAAAACAGGGTTTTTTTCTACATCTAATTAATGTATTTGTGAATATTTTCATTGTTTGCATAAAGGTCTGATCATGGTTAGAATGTAAGTGGTAGGTTTTCATTATATACCATGGCAGTGAATTCTATGGGTTTTGTGCCTTGTGTAATTTTCTTGTACTGGTTTTAAATGTGTTACCTTTCCTTGTTCTAGTTTTATGAAAGGGTCAATAAGAGCTTCTCTTTACTGTGCTTTCTCTTTACCTTTTGTTATGTACATCTGAGTTGGGGGGAGACAATTTAGTACTAAGTTTATTCACCATTCAGATTGTAAGTTCCTGCTATGTATTGTTACTGTAAACATGGTTCATTATTCAAATGGATGCCCTTGAATATTTCCCCTACAGTAATCTATGTGGTTTCCTTTCACTCTACATCAACTAATTTTTTCCATCATTCTACTGCAGCTTGTTTTTACGCTCCTCTGCACCCAACAGTTCTATTTGGCTGCTCCTGTTCTTAGTTCCACACTTTATTTCATGCTGCTCAGCACACTGACACTCTTAGGCTATGTCTATACAGCAGTATTATTTTGGAATAACTGATATTATTCCGAAACAACAAAGAGCGCGTCTACACAGCAAGCCATTATTTTGAAATAATGACAAGCTGGAGGACTTCTTACCTCAACTCCTATAACCCTCATTTCACAAGGAGCAAGGGAAGTCAAAGGAAGAGTGTTCTTCCTTCAACTTCCTGCTGTGTAGACAGCACCAAAAGTCAAATTAAGCTGTTTTGACTTAGGTTATGCAGTTGACATAGCTGAAGTTGCATAGCTTAATTTGACTTTAGCTCTGCTGTGTAAACATGCCCTTAATGTGCTACAAACCCTTAATTTGCACTTCTTTGTCTTCACACCTTCTTGGACCTGAACCATTGTGCAGTTCATGCTATTTGGCTGAGCATGGGCTCAGATCTGCTGAGTTCCAAGTATCTCTTGCAAAATGCTGAGTCCCTTCAGCTCCTGTTGAAATCTGTGGGAGTTGTGTTCAATAGTTTGCAGTATCAGGTCTTCAAATGGCTAGCTCTTATGGGCAGGAAGTTTGACCCAAAAGAACTGCTAACACAACTCCTTTGAAGTCGATGGAGTTACACCAGGGATGAATTTCTCCTGGTGTCTCTTTCTCATTTTGTAAAGGGCATTGCACATTCATCACTCTCTGTAAATAAGAAACATCTTTAAGATTAAAATAACTCCAAACAAAAACTAGGCTTGTGGTACATGGTTAGGTGCCCTTTCACACCCGATTTGCTCCCCACCCATCCACATGAGTTTCTCAGTGCTTAGTACATTCTGTACACTTCCTTTTTAATGATGGCCTGACACTTACTGAGTCATTCTCCACCATGTAAATGATATGGGAGGGGGCATTTCCTGCAGCTAAGAGGCAAAAGTGTTCCTCAGCGGGGATTTGCCTAACTTGGGGTTTCAAGGGACAGCACATGTTCACTGTGTAGGACTGTGGGTTGCAAAAAGACTATTCTAAAGGAGTCAGGCAAAAAAAGAGAACAGTCAAGTATATTTTCCTTTGTAATTCTTTTTGGTGAGTTGTTTCTCAGTTAGTTCCATTGCTGTCACTCTGAATACCACTTTGCATGACCCTCTAGAATGGAGTTTATGTCTGTGTGAGGGACGATAAGACATGATGGGTGGTGGTCTTACCCCACCCACTCTGACCACATAACCTTTTCCCTTCTTCCTTTGTTTTTTTTCTTATCCTCTTCTCTGGATGGCAGGACATATGGGAGGAGGGATAGTTTTTTTTCTTATCCTCTTCTCTGGATGGCAGGAGGGATAACTGCCTGCTCTTTATCAGCACACTGCAGAGAAAACACACAGCAATGCATCCCTTACAGTATAGCCACCTTTCATACAACTTCTTAACTTCACTAGCTGTGTTGTATGCTTCACATTACCAGGCCCACTGCTAAATACTTGTACTGTGGCTGCACTTCAGCACAAAACAGATAGGGTTGCCAGATGGTTTCAACAAAAATACTGGACACACTTGACATTACATCACAATCTACATTACATCTTATTTAGAAAATACCGGACATTTATATTTTCTCAATGTGTTTCCCAAACAGAAAGCTCAAATACTGGACTGTCTGGTTTAAAACCGGATACCTGGCAACCCTAAAAACAGAACATTCACTCAGAACATGCTATCAGCAACGCACAGGCAGGGCTCCAAACTATGCTCTACTCTCATGCAAAACTTCATTGGGAGTTAAGTTTGAGCAAGGGATCAGGTCGGCAGTATTGTGTGTTCCTAGTGATTGCTATCACTAGAGCTGGTTACCTTCCAAAAGTCTCTCTCTCCATTCAGGGATATGCCTATAAATGCTGTGGCTTGTAGTCTTCTCATCTATCCCCTTTGGACGGCTTTACCCTTCTAGAAGCATCCTCCCAGGACTTGCATTCTCAGAGTTCGTTCATTTCTTCTTGGCTTCCACAACTAGAATTTATTTAAAGGAAAAGTTTATCCTGACAGGTATTTGTAAAGATTCCACTGCTGTGCTTTCAGTGGCAGGTTAACACACTCCTCAGTCCATTTCTCACTACCTGTAACAACCTCTTTAATTTTTTCTGTTCCATGAGTGCTTTTTACTCTGACAGCAGGACCTCATGTTTATTACTTTCCCTGCTTCCCCATTGCTTTTTCCCACCTGGTTGGTTTTGTCTGAATTTTTACTGGCTGGGCTTTTATGTTGTTGGTTATTTTAAATAAAAATGTATTTTGTGTTGTTTTGAGGATATTGCATTGCATCCCAGGCACTTTGATGTAGTTTTATACAAATAGCAATGTTGGAGTACAAATAGGCTAGGGAGAAACCTAGTAAACAAGCAGACAGTGCAGTTCTGTAGATCATGGTGTTAAATTGATCAGTAAGGCTATGTCTACACTGGCGCGATCTTGCGGCAGAGCTATGCAAATGAGGCTAAGCGTAGAATATCGCCGAGCCTCATTTGCATATCTCATGAGCCGCCATTTTGCAGAAGAGGCTTTTGCGCAAGAAGGAGCTGTCTACACTGCCCCTTCTTGTGCAAGAAAAACCCTCTTGCGCAATGCTGTTACGCTGATTATTTTCAGGAACAACAGCATTGCGCAAGAGAGTTTTTCTTGCGCAAGAAGGGGCAGTGTAGACAGCTCCTTCTTGCGCAAGAGCCTTTTCTGCAAAAACGGCAGCTCATTAGATATGCAAATGATGCTCAGCGATATTCCACACTTAGCCTCATTTGCATAGCTCTGGCGCAAGATCGCGTCAGTGTAGACATAGCCTAAGAGTTTAAATTCAACAATGATAAATTTGGGAATCCAAAGGAAAGAATTGGAGACCGAGATCGAGTGAGCGAGAGAATTTTCAAAATGGTGTGGATTATCTAGAAAGGAACTAGTGCTTGGGTGGTGATAGTGGCTTATATACTAGACTACAACTGAGGAGATCTGGGTCCAAATTTTGGCTCTGCCACGGGCTTCATTTGTCTGCACTCTCTCTGTAAAATGGGGGTAATAAGACCTTCCTGGGCTATCATATCTGCTTAGCCCCTGGTCTTGCAATGACTTACACACATGCTTAACTTTAAACTTGTGTTTCATTGGATTAGTCAAATTTACGAGTTTGTAGGATCAGACTCTAGACTGTAAATTCTTCAGGACAGAGACTGTGTGTTCTTATGTGTTCATACAGAGCCTAGTAAAATAGGACCCTGATCTTAGCTGGGGCTAAGATACTATTATAATAAAATGATCAAAAGTAGTAAACCTGAGACAGCCAGCAAGGCATGATGACTAATCCATATTTCAACAACATCTCATGATGCAAATCTTTGTGCCTAACATAGACACATTTGTTGCCACTAAAAAGCTTTCTTAACTAACTTTTTATTGGCTGCGCTCTTTGGCTATAGACTGTCCTAAGCCAGTTTACCATACTTCTTGCTATCTTACCTGAGCAGGAGAAAGGGTATAATTTACCATACTCCAATACATATTAATCTCCAGTCAATCCCCTTTTATTTTATTCAGATTTGCATCATTGATGAGTGTGAGTTTGCTCTGTCCATTCACATTGTTGTACAACATGAAGTATGTTTAATAGGCAGGCACAGAGAGTGCCAGTGCTAGCCCATTGGAGGTCCTAAACAGGAATAACCCCCCTTTCCCCAACACTTGCTGTAGAACTGCAATGTCTGCTTGTTTGCTAGGTTTCTCTCTCACCTGTTTTACCCCAACATTGGTATTTGTATAAAGCTACATCAAAGTGCACGGGGCGTGATGCAAAATCCTCAAAATACATATTTATTTAAAATAACCACTAATTTAAAAGACCACCCAGTAAAAATTCAGACAAAACTCATCTATAGGAAAAAGCAGCAGGGTGGGAGGGAAGGTTCTTATTTAACTAAAATCCCAGAGGTGTCAACAGAATCTAGCTTAAAAATAACAATAGTACCTAGCTCTCATAAGGTGCTTATTGTCAGCAGAGCTCAAAGCACTTGACAAAGGAGGTCACTATAATTATTTTATGAATGGGGTGGGAAACTGAGGCCCAAGGCAGTGACATGGCTTCTCCAGTGTTTCCCAGCAGACCAGTGACAGGGCCACAAAGGACTGCAGGCTCTGGCCCCTTCTCTTCTTTTCCAATTCAAGCAGGAAAGATTTTAATTATGGAGTCTGTTGTCATGTGTCCTAATCAGTTCTCCCTTAGCTATTGACCTTATATCAGTTTACTCTGACCCATTGTGGACATGTTTCCTTACACTTATCCAATATAGCCAGTCATTTTCGTTTCTCATATTGTCCTTTTTTTTTCAATTTGCCAGGCTTCTGCTCTTTCTGAATTTAATGCTGTTATCTTGGAAGAGGATTTTCCTGCTCAGTTGCCATAACAAACAAGGGATCTACTTGCAGTCTGCCTTGGGTTAGTATAGGCATTAAGCTCATTTGGATCCCTATTGCTTATGACTGGCTTTGAACAAAGATACGTTTGTGGGAGGTGAGGCTAGTAAATTAGGAGGGGAAAAAAAGCCCTGATACAATTCATTCTGGTGAAACTGACCAAGGAGGAGTGGGGCTGTTTGAAGAAGTGAGAATTTACTTCTGACCAAGAGGTAAGAGGAGCAGCTGTTGATGGAGGAAAAAGAGTGACATGGACAGTCAGGCTGTACAGTATTTTAACTCTGTTTTCTTGAAGTGTGACTGCTCATTAGAAATAACCTACTCAATTTTCTACTACAGGTTGAACCTCTCTGGTTCAGGAATTCTCTGGTCTGACAAGAACCAGGGCCAGGGCTGGAAGTGTAGCCAGGCCATCCGCCTGATGGCAAGGACAGGGGATGGGAGTGAAGCCAGGCTCATGGCCAGTGGCCAGGAGCAGAACTAGGCTTGGAGTGGAGCGCGGTGGCTGGGGCCAACAGTGGGGTCAGCGGCCAGGAGGGGAGCCCAGCTGGGAGAGGCCAGTTGTAGAGGGGCCAGCATTGGACCTCCTCTGTATCAGCACACTCCCTTATTCAGGAATGGTCAGGTCTTGAGGGTGCTGGACCATGGGAGTCCAACCTGTATTACTACCACTTATTACTATTTCATCTCAAGGGGAATTGGATGAGAGAAGTTCAGCTGTTTTTGTTCTTTGCTTTGTTACACCTCATTAGCGTGGAGACATCAGAATACCTGGCAGCAGTAGAAAACAAGGAGCATTCCGTGGTCCAGCTACTGCTGATGTATCAGTCTCTGAAGAAGGTGGATATGCTGCACGTGATGGCTGGAGAGGAGCTTGCTGACTGCCACTTCTCCAAAAGTTCAGGCTGGGGAATAGGTCAGACAGTCACCCTTTGAAGACACGAGGAGAAAGGAGATGTCACAGGCTGTACCCTATTGTTGTCCTAGATCAGTGGTTCTCAATCTTTCCAGACTACTGTACCCTTTTCTGAAGTCTGACTTGTCTTGTGTACCCCATATTTTACTGCATTTAGAAACTACTTATGAAATCAGACATAAAAATACATGTGTCTTAGCACCAATAGCTGAAAAATGGCATATTTTCCTCACTTTTACCATATAATTGTAAAATAAATTGATTTCAATGTATAGCAGATAGAGCAGCATAAACAAGTCATGACGTTTTAGTTTGTATTGACTTTTATATATATTTTTAAAATGTAGCCTGTTGCAAAACAAGGCAAATCTCTAGATGAGCTAATGTATCCTATGAAAGACTTCTGGGTATCCCCAGGGGTACATATACCCTTGGTTGAGAACCACTATCCTAGACAAGGATGAGTTGAGGGCAGAGTTCTGTGCTCCCTAGCACTATGCCTATTGTGGCATAAAAGGAGCTTTGCTGAGCCAGACTGTGCATCTGTGGTTTGAAACTATTCAGGAACAATTCTGTTAGAAAAGAATTAGAAGCAGCTGAGCTTAGTTAGACTCAGAAATATGCAAAGAATCTGGACTAGCTGGAGGCGTTGTTAGGCAGAATCCAAAGCAGGGAGTGCTACAGGACACTAACTAAGGGTACGTCTAGACTACATGCCTCTGTCGCCAGAGGCATGTAGATTAGGCTACCAGGCATAGGAAAATGAAGCGGCGATTTAAATAATCGCCGCTTCATTTAAATTTATATGGCTGCCACGCTGAGCTGACAAACAGCTGATCAGCTGTTTGTCGGCTCAGCGCGGTAGTCTGGACGCGCGGGTGTCAACATCAAAGGCATTTGTCGACCACCCAGGTATGCCTCCTGGGATGAGGTATACCTGGGTGGTCGACAAATGCCTTTGATGTTGACACCCGCGCGTCCAGACTACCGCGCTGAGCCGACAAACAGCTGATTAGCTGTTTGTCAGCTCAGCGTGGCAGCCATATAAATTTAAATGAAGCGGCGATTATTTAAATCGCCGCTTCATTTTCCTATGCCTGGTAGCCTAATCTACATGCCTCTGGCGACAGAGGCATGTAGTCTAGACGTACCCTAACTGAGTTTATGTTCCTAATTAGTCCTTTGTATAGATTTAAACCTCATGAATAGAACATGGACAGAGCCTGCAACATCTCTGGGGTCTGAAGTGTTGTTTTGCTTTACATGATTCTTGTAAAAACAAACCTGAAAGCTCAGTAATTTCATTTCTGTTCCAATGGTGAACTTTCTCTCCAGCCACTCAGACCCTGCCCCTGTCAAACCAAAGCCTGGTTCACCTCCTACTTATACCAATATAACTCCATTGACTTCACTGGTGTCACTTCTGATTTATCACAGTAAACATGAACAAAGAATCAAACTCAGGGGTTTCTTTAGGAATCCGGAGAAGCTCTGGGAGTTTCAGGTTCATAAACTTTTAAACCACAACCCTACTTTTCTCCTCCAAGACTTTAGCACTGATGTTTCAATACATTTGTTATGAGGAATGTTGAAAGGTATGCGTGACAATTCATATTACAAAGGTCCAGAGTGGTCTTCACAGTAGTTTGCTGAAATAATAAAAAAAAGATTTCTTACACAAACTATTTATTTTTATTCATTGCTGCCCACGTATCATGCTTCATGAACTTTCCTGACACTTAACATTTGGATTCAATCTGATCTCTGTTGCTAATCGTATACAATATACTTTTGGGAAAGGGATGGTTCACAAGTTAGTTCCTTTATGCTATTTCTGCCCAGAAATCCATCAAGTATACTGCTTCCTTATTGCTCCATAATGCCCTCTGTCTGCATTGTATGGCAGAGGTGTTTTCTTACAATTTCAAACTACGGTCTTTGTGCAGTCGCTGAAACAAGGCATTACATTGTCAGTCTGTCATTAGTATCTCTCAGCTATCACCTATATAACAAAATATATAGGAACAAAGTCCAGTGTGTAACTGTACTGACTTTAATGTAATTACACCAGATATTAATTTGGCCCATTATTTTTGCCCCCTTGCAATGAGGCAATATTGTTCCTGGTATGGCCATGAGCTGTATCAAGTTTCTGTTTATCATCCCTATGGATACAAAAACCTTGATAGATTGAGATTTCTTGGGTAGGTTTCTGTGATCAAAAAGGTCCATTTTATACCCAAACACTTAATTCCCAGGGAAGCAGTTTACTCTGTATGACTGAAACAACCCAGCGCTCCTAGGCCTAGCAGAAAGCCATAGGTGTTGGAATCAGGGGTGCTGCTATACATCGTGGTTTGAAGTAGCAACAACAACCCAAATACATGGTTTCTGCTTTCAGCATCCCTTTTTTAAAAACTGTTCTAGCACCACTGCAGAAAGCCCCAGAATCAAAGCCAAAGTTTGACTTGATACTCCCATTTTGAAGCCACCATAAATTCATGATACCCTGCTAAAGTCTGTATTCTGTAATCAAACCTGCATATGAAGTCTTTGACAAATGTTGGCATCTGAAAACGGGCACATTAAATGTATCCAGTTATAAATCATGATCTGATTCCCCTAAATGAAGATCCACACTGATGGATACAGGGAGGTATTTATATGTTAATAGAGTAACTGGTCACTTGACTGTATGTGCAAATATTCAGTTGGCCCTTTAAAAACCTGCATTTGCACATGCAAGTGCATGTGCAGGCAAATCTCGTTAGGTAAGTTTTCAGGGGGTTATTTCAGTTTCCTTTTCAGTTTTGAAAGCTTTAAAGTCAACAGTGAGCTACTTTAAAAGTACCTCATTCCCTTCCAGTTCAGTTCCTGCCTCTGCCCTTACACTGCACTGCTTATTTGCTATTCAGAAACTTCTCACTGTTACCCGGTGGTCCCCTTGTCTTCTTTGTAGTCTCCATTTGTTGTCTCTTTTCTTATAGCTAGACTAGCAGACTTACCTGGTGTGGTAGCATATGCACACCCCGTCACAAGTGTGAGGATATCCTGGGGTGAGGCTGCTGTCTGCTCAGCCACCAGGTCATCTGCTGCCTCTATAGTCCGTAAATATCCCCTCACTTCAGGTTAACACAGAATCCGTACACAGCTCTGGCCACAGGGCAGTATGGCATATTCATCGGAGTCTATACACAACTCTTGTCTCAGGGCAGTGCAGCTTAGTAGCCAGAGTCTGTACATGGCCCTCGGTTCAGGGCAGTGTGGTCTAAGGGCCAGAGTCGGTACAGGGCTCTCGGTTCAGGGCAGTGAGGTGTAAGGGCCAGAGTCAGTAGGGTAGGGCTAGCGCCCTGGTAGGGGCACCCAGGCCCACCCTGCTCTACCAGGTCCCGACCCAAGGCCGTGTGAGTGGCAGATCGGTCCACCACTCCCTCAGTGGGGAATCTAGCCACAACACACTCCTGTACCCTCCCTCGGTCACTTCGTACTAGTGCTGCGGAGACATCATCTCACATAGCGGCTGGGTCTCCTGGTCCGTCGGCTGGGGCTTCTCCCTAGGGCTCCACTGCGGCCATGTGGCAGCAACATCCTGAGACTTTGGTGCTCACTGGCTGTTGGAACTCTGGCTGGAGATCTTTCTCCTTTGCTGATGAGCCCAGACTGCATTGCTCTCTTGCCTTTTCTGCTGTCCCAACACTTGGAGCATGCCCATTCTGGTTGAAGGGGGGGACTTCCTCCACCCACATGGTTTTCACCTGTCCTGCTCTAGTGCAGGGTATGCACACCCTGTCACACCTGGCATTGCTCAGGTTCTTCAGGGAAAGGGGCTGGTGATGTGCAGGGTCCAGGACTCAGGGAAGGGCCTTGGGGATAAGGCTGGAGGTGGGGGGTGCGAGAGTGAGGGCTTGGGTGTGACAAGAGTCTCAGGGTGGGTGGTCCCATCCAGCATGGGGCTTTTCTCTCCTCCCGGCTACCAGCGGCCTTTTTTCTCTCTCTCCTCCCCCACCGCCTCCAATCTGGCATTGCAGCCAAGGGGAGAAAGGGTTTAGTGCAGGGGGGCTATTTACCTGGTGTGGTGTGCTAATAGGTAAGATGGCAGAGCCCCAGCCTTGCTGGCCACTCCCTTGGGTGGTGGTACAGCTGCCTCCAGTGGACACTCTGAAGGATAGCTGTCTCCTGTGGGCTCACTGACCCCAATGGTCACTCAAATTGCATCCCTCCAACCGGCAACTCTTCCCTTTGCATGTTATGGAAAACAGTCCTTTTTCCAGGGCTTCTAGTTGACCAGGCACAACCAACCCCTGACCTTGCTTTAAGTTATGATAGGAGGAAGCTGTATACCAAATGTGGTGGTCCTAGCTCTTACCATTCAGGAGGAGTTCTTGAACAAATAGACTCACCATCAGACAGACAGACACACTCTACAATATATAGAGAGATTGTAAACTCTGAAGCAGAGACCATCTTTTTATGATATTTGTGTATTGTTCTTAACACAGTGGGGTCCCAGTTCCCAACTAAGGTCTCTAAGCTCTGTTACAGGACAAATCATTAGCAATAACAGCAACAGACTCAAGGCATAGCCAGTGGAATTTTCCCACAGCCACTCTTAAGCAACATTTTTGCTATGTACTGAAATAAAGGCTGATTGGAACAAGAATCTCTCTCCTAACTCCCACCACCATCTCCAGGTTACTGTATCAGCAGGAGGGGTGACTGATTGATCAAAAAAGAAGAATGAGGGAAATGAAAGAAAGCTGCAAGGAGCATTTTCTTGCCACTCTTATGCACTTCCCTCATACTGCACTAAAGATGAACAAATGGTTCATTTGTTATGGAGATGTTGCACATCTGTGTCTGTGTCTAATCACAGTTAATTATAAAGAGTGGAGTCTCCATAATATTCCTGGTCCCAGAGCTCTGGAGCTCTGGAGGGCCCATTGCTTTATTCTTCATAGGTTTCATTGCCAACTCTTGTAGCTGCCTTTTTCTATTATAAATCATCAAAAAGGTA